GGTAATGAGTAATTGAACTACAGTCAGAGAGTGTGTAATTGAGTATTGTCGAGCACGTGAGATGTTCTAGCGTTTGTTATAGAGAGACTGTTGAAATTAAGTGTATCGGTAAAGTTGTATTCAGAAAGAATAAACCAGTTTTATTTAAGAAAGGACTTGAATCGCTAAAGTTTCGTCGGAACGAATTTACGGAAAATTAATTAACGACTGGAAGCGTAACAAAATCATGTTTTTGAATGATATATTTGTGTATGGCAATGTTTAAGTACATTTAGCTGTAATATTATGCCAATTTTTCAATGTTATCAAAATTTTTGGTAGACATTTTTAAAATGTCTACCAAAGGTAACATAGACCTTTTTTATGAAGGCTCCATTTCTAAAAATATTCTATGGGCCATGGTCTACAACTATGCCAAATTTCATGCTTGTACATTTAAATCCACAATTCTTAAACAATAAAGTCCCTCAGGTTTTAATATTTACACATAAATCTTCATCTGCCTGCCCTACATTAATTACAGTTTCATAACTCATATTAAAGCTTACCTGGTTTTATTTTCACACATTGAATTTTTTATTAAATTTGGATTAATAACTTTTAAACCACTACATTCAATGAACATGTTTGAAACAGTTTAAGGGTTGAAACCTTAAATGATTGAAGACAGTTGACTGAGGAATTGATGCAGTTATTTATTTAAGTATAAAACTTTATTCAGGAACTAGACTCAGGTTGAGCATACTTGCAAATGTATGCACTTAACTTTGTTAAAGGTGGGGAAGGGGTAAGTGTAAAGAAGAATTGGCAAGCAAATGAGGCAAGAATTTTTTTCTGAAAAACATATTCAAAGTGAGGTGACAAGTGCTCCTTCTGCCTCACTGGTTAGGCACCTGTGTTTGTAGGTACATGTTTTAAAATTAGCCCATCAGGCTTAAGTTTTGTAGCAAATTTTTATTATTTTTGTTGTTATTATTGTGGTAGAAAGTACCACATGTTTTGTTCTCCTTCAGTTAACATGCAGAATTTTAATATACTCTATGTTGTTTTTAATTTAGAACATTGGTCAACACTACAACTTTAGTTGTTCATGGACTGGCTGAATTACCAAAGACATCATGGTGTTCTCCATTAGATGGAAATAATGTAGCATGATATACTTTATACACAAGAACAGTGATCATTTTTAATGGTAAACATGGTGATGCCTCAGGAACTTAACACACCTCTGTTAACTTGAGAATTGTTCTCAGTCACATGGATAGCACATTTATCTAGAGTTTTTGAGTATTTTACTATATTTTCTTTGTTTTCAACAGATTTTGCTTTGAGAATTGCTGAGATACAAATAGGTATAGCTAGTTTATCAAACGATTTTCAACAGATCAGTTTTTGTCTTTTTTTGAGGGCAGATTTTGTTTTCAAAGATGAACTTTGAACTTTAACATTTTCTTTAACCTGTTTTTATTTTGCTTATTTATATTAACTTCTTGGATCTCAGCTGAAGTACAAAAGTTAACAGTCAAGTTTTTATTTTAATGAGTAGTATAGCAGCTCATTGTTTTGTAGCAGATCAGTGCTTTTGTGTTTTAAATCAGTTGGATATTTTGTGTTAGTTAGCAAGAGATATAGATAAAATGTTGCTGCTTCAAGGTACACATCTTACAGTGCTTAATTTAATGCAGATTTGCTTCTGTTTAAAGTTTAACTTCGAGTATTAGCATTTTGTTTAACCTTCTTATCTCTTCCATTCATTTACACTTCTTGGTTCACAACTTAACTGTGAACCTGAACTGCTGAGAGAGACTTAATAAAGGTCTCTTTCTCTATATTCAGTTCTTCACAGTACAATAGGAACATCTGCCCATGTTTAATCCTTTCACTGAGGTTGGGACATATATTTGCCAGTACTCCCACCTCCTTACACTGTGACTGGGACAGACGTTTCCTATTGTCATTCAAAATTGCCATCCATAATGTATAGGATTAAAATGAGTTGGAAAGTATTTACTTGCATTCCACCTAATGTTGATATATGGTTTCCCTTTTTGTTTTCCACTCAGCCCTTCAGTAACCAACAAGAAGCCTAAGCAGAATGTACAACAACTGTGTGCCGACACAGCCCACATGTAAGTATGCTTGATGAGCTTGACTCAGATAGCTTAGTAGACAGTGACAGTGAGTCAAGTGGTGTGAAAATGCATGATGATGGAGAGGCAATGAGACAAGAGGATGCTAGCTCTCCATCTGGTGATGATATTCAATATGATAAACCTGGACCCAGCAGAGGAAGGCGTAAACAGCATAGACAATGGAAAACATTTGCCCCAGTCAAGGAGTGATGGGATGGGAGCACTTGGAAACATACAACCCAGCTGTAGTGAATTTGTTAAGTGTTTAACTCAACGTTGATGCATGTTTGTTTAAATAAAGATGGTAATTTGTGTATATTTTTTGTATACCATCTCTTTCTTTGCATCAAACACAGTGAAGAAACTGGGAAAAACAAACCAATATTTGGTAATAAAGTATTTGTTGGATCTCCAGTTTTTGTGGGTCTTAAATCATACACAGAGTTGATAAAATAAGGTGGTTTCATCTGAAAAAAGAGAAATCTAAATGCAAAATTGCAATCAATCCTCAGTAATTTTATGTTTAAAAATGAAAATAGAAATAATACATTCATATTGTTACGTCTCCGTTTGTTAATTAACTTTCCGTAACTTCGTTCCGACGAAACTTTAGCAGCACAAGTCCTTACTTAATAAAACTGGATTATTCTTTCCGAATACAACTTTACGATACACTTATTTTCAACAATCTCTCTATAACAAACGCTATATCAACGAACGTCAACAATACTTCTGACTGCAGTTCAGTTACTCACTATCTACACACACACACATTATCCCGTCACATTGTCACCCTCTTTTATATACCAGACTACCCTATATCTAGTAAATGCTAGAGCATTTGCCAAGGTACAGGATAGTTCTAGAAACGTGGCGTCACACTAGTCATGTGACTTCGCTTACGCAACACTGCCCCTTCCTTAGTATTGTTCGTCCCGAACAATACCCA